TCATCCGTAACTACCTGGTGGAGACGGGAGGGTATTCGGAGAGAACTATGCACGAGGACCAAGCTCGTAAAGAGCTGGAGATGCTGGTCGAAGCCAATCGGTAGGACAAAAACTTCTACCACAGATTAGCTCAAAAATGATATTTCACTCCTAAATCGAAGATTGATTTTCTAACTTCAAATGTAGTATACACTATGTGCTATCTGTTCTGTCATAATAATCATAATGATAATTGATTGGATTTATATAGTGCTTTTCGACCTAGGTTTTCAAAGCGCATTACATAATAAGGGGGAAAAATCAACTTTACCACCACCAATGTGGTGATAACTTTTTAAAATGTTGAACCAGCGTTGATTTTCGTATAAACTATTCACTGCTATCCACATGTGCAGTAGCCAGTCCGTTGGCAGTTTATTTATGGTGGAGTGATTTCCCTACAGGTTCGCCATGGCATCTCACTTCCTCTGGGGCCTGTGGTCCATCATTCAAGCCAGGATATCCAAGATTGAGTTTGGCTACATGGTAAGTACAGTAGTAGACTTACTTCACATGGTGAGATACAGACTTCACCTCACTAGAATGAAACAATACAGTAGCGCTTCAGCATATTGTAACATAAATTAATGTAATTCACATGACATTGCAGGTATAGGTGTTTTATGGTCTCTCCCCTTCTCTTTCTGTTTATTTGCTGAGTGAGATGTTCTATGACCTGGATAAACAGTGGCCTGTGCTTCCAAAACACATGATCCGTCTCAATGTTTACACCTGTTTATTTGACCTCTCTCGTTTCAGGACTATGCCCAGTCTCGATTTGATGCTTACTTCAAGCAGAAAAAGCTATTTTCCTAAATCTCTAAGAGAACAGATTGACTTCAATGGAATTTACTGTCATTTTTATATCTGCTGATTCTTCCTGTATGCAACTGTCCTGACCCAAAATAAGTGTTTTTAGTTCCTTTTTACCTTTTTAGTTTGGTTAATTTATTCTAAGTATGTATAAAGGGAGTTGGGTGAAACGGTAATTTAGCAGAAACATGGTTAGCTAGGTTACAAGATAATCCATTGTTTGAACTTTATATTTATAATATACCACTACCCCGTCCATCTAGTATCTTTCCCCTGCTTAGTAGCATCCAATACTTTGCACTGCCTGTGACAAGTAATGGTGAAGCAGGGACTTATTGTACCAGTCAAAAGTTTTAGAACACCTACTCATTCAAGGGTTTTTCTTTATTTTTACTATTTTCTACATTGTAGAATAATAGTGAAGACATCAAAACTATGAAATAACACATATGGAATCATGTAGCAACCAAAAAAGTGTTAAACAAATCAAAATAGCCACCCTTTGCCTTGATGACAGCTTTGCACACTCTTGGCATTCTCTCAACCAGCTTCACCTGGAATGATTTTCCAACAGTCTTGAAGGTGTTCCCACATATGCTGAGCACTTGTTGGCTGCTTTTAGTTCACTCTGCGGTCAAACTCATCCCAAACCATCTCAATTGGGTTGAGGTTGGGTGATTGTGGAGGCCAGCTCATCTGATGCAGCACTCCATCACTCTCCTTGTTGGTAAAATAGCCCTTACACAGCCTGGAGGTGTGTTGGGTCATTGTTCTGTTGAAAACAAATGATAGTCCCACTAAGTGCAAACCAGATGGGATGGCGTATCGCTGCAGAATGCTGTGGTAGCGATGCTGGTTAAGTGTGCCTTGAATTCTAAATAAATCACAGACAGTTTCACCTTCAAAGCACCCCCACACCATCACACCTCCTCCTCCATGCTTCACGGTGGGATCTACACATGCGGAGATCATCCGTTCACCAACTCTGCGTCTCACAAATACACGGCGGTTGGAACCAAAAATCTCAAATTTGGACTCATCAGACCAAATGACAGATTTCCACCGGTCTAATCTACAGTTACATTTTAGCAGACGCTCTTATCCAGAGCGACTTACAGTTAGTGAGTGCATACATTTTCACACTGGCCCCCCGTGGGAAACGAACCCACAACCCAGGCGTTGCAAGGGCCATGCTCTACCAACTGAGCTACAGGGGACTAATGTCCAATGCTCATGTTTCTTGGTCCAAGCAAGTCTCTTCTTATTATTTGTGTCCTTTAGTAGTGGTTTCTTTGCAGCAATATGATCATGAAGGCGTGATTCACAGTCTCCTCTGAACAGTTGATGTTGAGATGTGTCTGTTACTTGAACTCTGTGAAGCATTTATTTGGGCTGCAATCTGAGGTGAAGCATTTATTTGGGTTGCAATCTGAGGTGCAGTTAACTCTAATGAATTTATCCTCTGCAGCAGAGGTAAATTTGGGTCTTCCTTTCCTGTGGAGCCAGTTTCATCATAGCGCTTGATGGTTTTTGCGACTGCACTTGAAGAAGTTCTTGACATTTTCTGGATTTACTGACCTTCATGTCTTAAAGTAATGATGGACTGTTGAGTCTCTTTGCTAATTTGAGCTGTTCTTGCCATAATATGGATTTGGTCTTTTACCAAATAGGGCTATATTCTGTATACCACCCCTACCTTGTCACAACTGATTGGCTCAAATGCATTGAAGTAACTTTTAAGAAGGCACACCTGTTAATTGAAATGCATTCCAGGTGACTACCTCATGAAGCTGGTTGAGAGAATGTGAAGAGTGTGCAAAGCTGTCATCAAGGCAAAGGGTGGCTATTTGAAGAATCTCAAATATAAAATATATTTTGATTTGTTTAACACTTTTTTGGTTACTACATGATTCCATATGTGTTATTTCATAGTTTTGATGTCCTCACTATTATTCTACAATGTAGAAAATAGTACAAATAAAGAAAACCCTGGAATGAGTAGCCATGTCCAAACTGTTGACTGGTACTGTATCTGCAATCCAACAAAATGCACTTATCCACCCCTACTATGAAATACGAAATTCAGTGAAAAAGCACAACAACAATTCATGTTGTTTGTTTACATTAATTATCTACTGGTTCCATACATTTCTTTTCAAAACATGTAGTCAGATTGTTCTGTATTCATATGCTTTCTTTTACAGTCCTTCAACTCACCTTCTTTTTTAACCCAACCTCGTAATTGAACTGATTCTTGTTGTACTTCAGTACACCTTTGACTTCAGGGTCCAAAGATGCTCATTTTGTGTTGTCTGTTTTGTCCTTAACTTGTTTGTTAAATGTGTGTTCTTGTTTGTTAAATGTGTGTTCTGTGCATGGTGTTGGATGCTGGCATGGACATAATACAGCATGGTAGAGAATCAAGCTGCAGCTCAGAGCTCCATTCATACTGTATTTATATGTTGCTTTGTAGTACAGTATGGAACACAGATGATGGTCCTATTCATTCAGAACTAGTAACCAAGTGGCCAGAGGAACACATCAACTTTGTTGCCCGGCAAGATTGTATGTTTACATTCATGATCATCTTCATCTATCAGTGAAAGTGTTAACCCTGTGTAAAAAAGCAGACGCTCAATTGCATAGTAAGTCAAATATGTTCTTAAACAGGATGTTGTTTTTGACCTTTCTCTATGACGGGTTCTGTTTGAATGGGCCCTAAACTCCATGTATGACCTACCTGTTTTAGCATTCTCTCTAGTCAAACTCTATATAGCCTGTCTGTTTTAGCATTCTCTCCAGTCAAACTATATAGCCGGTCTGTTTTAAGAGTCTCTAGAGTAATTCTACCTCTTCACAACAATGGGGGTCATTTGACACATTTATGTTTGCATGACAAATGAGCAAATGTATAAAGGAGTGAAAGTAAATGATTAAAAAAGGAACATGTTTAGCTTATAGACAATGAAAACTAATTGCACAACATATCTCAGAGAGCAGCTTTTAAAAATTATAATCTCAGTTATATACTAAACAGCTTTCATTATCAGAATGTGCTAAATATCGTCATCCTTTTTTGGGGGGGCTGAAAGCCGTCTGGCTTTTATGAAGTCATTGCTTTCTGACTAGGTTTACCTTTCATTCTAAAGCTGTTCCATTACTAGTAAACTGGTATGGAACTGTCTGTCACGGTTTGACTATGCTCAAGGTTTAGATGTTTGTCCTTTTCCATTTCAGACCAAGAACCACAATAGTTAAAGAAAACTTTCCATGACTTTGAACAACAGATTTTGTGTCTGATTTAAATGTGCATTTGTCTACTGTTTGTGTCTGCCTAACATATTATGAAAACCAAATGTAATATCATCTGCATGCTTTTGTAATTCAGATCCAAAGATGATGAAAATGGGATCAGGTTTAAATAAATAAATAGAACAAATCCTTGGAATGGCAATCATTTGAACATGTCAAAATGTTGTTCAGTATAATGTCTAATGTTATAAATTATTTAGTATATTTGTTTGCTAAGTGCAGTGCCCTCAGTTTTGGTATGTCAGTTATAATAAAGGTTTCCCCATGAATGTACCCTATATTATCAGAACTAGAATGTTTGCTGTGGATGTAGGCCAATGTTACATTTGAGAGAATATGAAACTGCCTAGTTTAGAAGCCAGTGAGTCATCATCTAGCTACATTTTTAAGAAACTTTCTTTTCATTACACCTCAATCCTGTCCAAAATCCTCCTTGCACTGCAACTGCTGTGTAAGTATTATAATTTAACAGCTAATAAACATGCTTGATACCTGATTGATTATGTATATTAATTTATTGATGATTAGAAATTCAATAGAATGGTATGGCAACAGTTCTTTTCACCTTGTATCTGTACTGTAGAAAATCAATACATGTTCAGGAACCAGAGCTCCCCCTAATGGTCAAATTCACAGCAGGTTTAGGGGAGTCGTATTTCACACTAGCAGGCTAAATGCTAATCTGCAAGGATTGGGTAGATATTCAATATGGCAATAGCTGCACCTCTTAACTAGGTGGGAGTTTCACTATATCACTTACATTTATAGTCCCTCCTTTCAGTGCATAGAAGGAAGGGGAATGGGGAGTTCCTAGGGGTAGGGGCTAGGGGTTGATTTGGAATTAGGCACAAGTCCCCTGTGATGCCTAAAATAGATCAGTCCTGTAGATCTGTTTTCCTGCACCCTGTTCCATGTAAGCACTGCTTGGACTGTCTATGGAGGAGAGGCTTTATAACTGACCGTGTCTACTCTGCTCTCAGACAGGGATCAAAGCTGGATTCAGGATTTATGGACATTTGGGATGTCATAGTTGCTGTAGGCCTATTGTATTTCTTGCCGTTTGTTATTGTTCTTTTGTGTGTCCACTGGTGTGTGGCGTTTGGCTAGTATTATAGCTGCTGCTGCTGGACTGTTATCTTATCTGAGCTGCGATGGATCAGGGAGATAAATGTGTGTTAGGACCATGGAGTGTCTGTTCAGTGTGTTTCCTTCATGCTCTGTATTGTTTCTGTGTAATGCAAGCGCACTAGTTCTCTCTAGCAGGAGGTTGTTCAATGGCCTGTTTTTCTTCCTATGACAAATAGTTATACAATATTAGCATAATTGGTCAAAAGTATTACATAATTCTTTAAAAAATGACACAGATTTCTTTTGACTAGTCCCAACACAGTTTTGAGAGAGAGAAAATTCTGTACAAGATAGATTTGTGAGACAGATGAGGTAACTCCCTTTAATATTAGTAAAGAATATTTTCTCCTCAGTATGATACGTATTTTCAGACCGTATGTGAACGTTGTGGTGCTGTGGATCAGCGGGTGGTTGAAGTATGCTTTAGAGAGGGTGTGGAGATTGCCGTTCTCAGTGCCACACACCTGGGTGACATCACCAGGCGACTCAGGTGAAGGACTGTATGACAGGGTTTCAAAGGAGTGGCAAACCAATGAGACGTATCGTACCTATCACCATGGAGATGGAAGTGGAATCATGGTTACAGTCCAGACCAGCACACATGCCTTCCACGTAAGTTAACAGCTACTGTATGTAATCACATCATCCCTGTATTGCCTTTAGAAATAGTACACCTCACTTCTCCATTATTGAGTTTGTCTCATCAGACATACTTCAGAATATTTCCCTAACTTGACATAATGACAAAGATAACCTTCCATCTATGTTTTTTTGTTCTTTCATCTGGGTGTATGAGGTGAACCTTGGTCGTCTGACTGACTGTAGTGAGTACTTCAGAGCCCTGTCCCAGTCCAGTATGAGAGAGACCACAGAGAGCCTGATTCTCCTGGACCACATTCCCTCCTCAGTCTTCCATTCCCTCCTGGAATTCTGCTTCCGGAATGACTTCAGCGTTCCCCAGGAGGAGCTGGGAGAACACATCCAAGTGGGTGGAAGTCTTATTCCCCATATATCATACTTTATTTTCCACTCATATGGAAATTAATCTGTCCCAGGCCAGCACATCACACAGAGCACCAGCAGTTTATTGTTTGTAATGTTGTATGTATGATAACTCTATTTCTCTCTCTGACTCTGGAGGTGGGCAGCTACCTGCTGGCTGAGGCCTTTGTGTCGCAGTGCCTGTTGGCCCTGTCTGGTGTTCTGACCCCAGACACCTGCCTGTCCTACCTGGCTCTGGCCCGGGACATCTGCTGTACTGAGCTGGAGACGACTGTGTTCTCCTACCTCAGCAGACACCTGCTGGAGCTGCCTCACCTCACCAGGTACAGCATGACATTCCCCAATACCTGACCTCATTCAATCAGACTACCTCATGGGTTTCAAGTTCCACACCAAGCAAATAATCTTGAGTTGCAAGGAGTGAACTCTCCTTTCAATTGAAAATGGATTATTCTTTATTGTGAATGCATGGCCAGGTGTCTGCCGGCTGAAGACAGGGCTGAACTGACCCGTCTGAGGTGGCAGGGTGATCTCCGGCTCTGCTGCGTGAGGAAGGAAAACCTGACCTCCTGGAACGACCTAGAAACAGAAGCCGCCCGCCACCTCTTCACCCTGGATGGGTCAGAGGTCACTGGTGACTGGCGTCCAATAACAGAGCTCCCCTTCATGGCTGATAAGTGGTGCTTCACCGCAGTGGTTCTACTCAACTACCTCTACCTCATCGGTGGCTACAGGCAGCGGGCCAAGAGGGGCTGGGAGTTCAAAATGGCCTCCTTTAGGTACAACCCCTTCACCAACACCTGGGTCTCCACTGCTCCTCTCATCAAGGTACAGGAAAGTCATCCACCTCATGAAAATCAATCATGATGCCTAAATTGCCCCTTAGGGGATTAGTAAAGTCAATGATATTGTTATATAAGACTAATATTAAGTGTCTGTATCTGTTGTCTCCCCAACAGCACAGGAGGCATTTCAGTGCGGTGTCATGTGATGGCTGTATCTATGCTGTGGGAGGCTGGTACCTGGACTCTCTGGTGACTCCTGACTCCAGCACAGCCCTCTACACTGCTGTGGAGCGATACCACCCCTGGGACAACACATGGACGTAGGATACGGCCCCTACCTGGATGTGTATTATTATGTTGCTACTATGGCTGGCAAACGATAAAAACATTTCTACTTAATCACGGTATTTGCTGTTATTATTCACGATTGATCGCAAATTCAGAATTTGCTCAAATTGAGCTGTAATTGAAGATTTGTTTTATACAAAAAGCATTACAAGAATATTGATGTCTTGATTTTGTCCAAGGTAACGGTAAGCAAAATCAGGTACATTGATAGAGCACATTTTCTTTAACCTCTATGTCAACTTGTTTTGACATCGCATTGTTGTTTTTAGCTGTATAGATTATGTATTTAGGATGTTTTCAGTGTATTTTGAATGCTTTCAGACAATGCGATTAATCACAATAAAATAAAATAAATCCACTAAAGTTACAAGTTAACTAGAGTTCACTGATTAACTCTGACAGCCCTAGTTGCTACTGTACCTCTTAGTCCAACCTATAGGTGTGTGTGTGTGTTCTCTGCTGCAGGTTTGTCGCCTCTCTGCCTCTGACTGACTTACAGTTCACCATGTCCCTGTCCCATGACCTCCCTCTGGCCACCAGCCTGGGCCCCTGTCTCTATGTCCTGGGGAACATCCAGAGGACTGGAGAAAAGCTGCTACTACGGTATGACCCCAGGCAAGGTAAAGCAGTCTCAATCTTGAGTGGAGTTGTTCCTTGCAACCTTACATGTTGGTCAATTGCAGGCTGTAGTCAAATCAATAACAGCCTTTGAGCCCCTAACACACGCATGCACGCACATTCGCACGCACACACACAGATAGACATGCACACTCCTGTTTTCTCTCTCTTTCCCAGATTTATGGTCTGAGCTGCTCCCTACCCTAACCAAAGCCAACGCTGACCTCCCCAGCCTCTACTTCCTGGGCGCTACCGACCGGCTGTTTGTGATTGGAGGAAACAACTCGGAGAATGTGGTGACATCATTCTGTGTGGAGTCTGGGCAGTGGGGGCAGGTGAGACCACCACCTGAGCGTTCTCTTGAATGAGATGAAGTTGCTTTTAATGCCATAGGCCTACCTATCTAATCCTCCCGTATCTGGTCCTAGGTGAAAGGGGCTGAGAAGGTGGCGTTAGCTGGACAGGGGACAGTGCTGGGTGACCAGGTGTACATGCCAGGTATAGAACACAACGCTGCTGTAAGGCTGGATCTCCACTCCCTCTCTCTCACTGTCCTCCCTCCTCTACCCATCTGCACTCGCTATGAAGCCCTCTTTCACCTCTCCTTCTGACACAACTTTCAGGAATCAGTGTGATTTGCCTTGGCTTGCTCTTTCTGGGGTTCAGGCCAAGGTTTTTGTTTAGTGCTTCTGGACAAACGCAGACTCATCATCAAGGTGGATCTTTGCTACATGTGGACTTCACCATTCTGTGTCAGCAACAATATGCCTTGCCCTGCTTTCACAGGGCCTTACATGACAACTTTTTGAACTAAAGTAGGCCTTCTCTAAAAGAGGTAACTCACCGGACCGATTGTCGGTCTGTACAGTAGGGGGCTGTTTGTTTGCCATTCACTTGCTGTCGGCGTGGTGTCTGCCGGTGGGTGACTGACTCCTGTCATTTTCTCATGTTTCTACATGTAGAATCAGTTTGAGTTCGGTTTGCAAATTACAGCCAACACTCTGTTCAGAGGTGCAAAGTACTCTCGCCAGCAGACGCTAGACAATCCTACCGGTCTGGCAGTCTTTTAAATCTTTACCCAGAGGAGAATGGGCTCCCAGTCTCGTTTTCTTCTTAGTCAGGTTCCTTTTAAAGGTTTCCTAGGGAGTTTCTCTTTGCCAGTAACCACGTTTCCATCCACAGTTTTTATGCGAGTGGAGTCATACCATATTTTTAAAAAATCACGAGAGATGTAGTGAAAACAGGACGTTTTGGTACAATTGTATAAATGCTGACAGATAATCTGTGCGTTCAACAAGGTGGGATCTTTTTTTGTTGGTAAAATTAATTATGTGAGAGAAGGCGGTGAAGTGGAAACGACTTTATGTGCAAATATTGATATAATATCCATCATATCGAAGTAAACTTGGAGTCACACGATGATATGGTGTGTGGTCCTACCACTAAGACTCGGGAAACCATGCAGTTTATTAGGCTACAGATGAAATAAGTTATGACGAACTTCACATAAGTGCACGGTGATGAGTTTGATGCTTCTTTCCAATAAATGTTGAGGGTGACATGATGATTGATGCTTGACTGCCATTTGAGAAATACAAATATTCTGTCTGCCATAATATTCTCATCATGTAGACTCACTAGCCTACCCATACACTGCGCACAGCCTACCCACACTGTATCTGCCAGCTCTTGGCTAGAGCCAACATGCCAAGCACAGAGTAGGCACATTTGCTATTTAATGCAACAGTTTTTGTGACAAAACACAAAAACTTTGATAGGCATAGAAACACATTGAACTATAGATTTTTATTCGGTACATGAAAACTTGAGCGAAAAACTACATTTTGTGTGCACTACATCATCACATACTGATTTTTTACAGATGCATGTCAGTTTGGTGGAAATACCACTGGTGGGAAATGCGCATATTTTCTTTATGCAGATTTTGGAATATTCGTATGAAGATCTGTTGCCAATTGGATTGAAACATAGCTACTGTTGCCTTTGTTTACTCTTTTGGGAGGTTGACTTACTAATAAGCACTTTGTGACAAATGTATTTGTGATATAGAGGTTAAAGGAGAATTAAATGTATTTGAAACATAAAGCCATCGATCCTAAAATAATCCCAGGACACTTGGTTGACTGCCTAAAGCTTAAAGCCTGTCAAACCCTTAAAAAAAACAGTGTGTCCACAGGTGTAGTGACACAAAAATGGAACATGGTGGGTTATTACATAACACAGCCATGATAGACACATTGTTCACAGAATGATTAAACTTGCCTCAAAACCTGCCTCATAACTATGAATTATGAATTAACCATTTGTCACTGGTTACCACGGCCAAAACATAATATACACGTAAATAGATTGATGAATAAACATCAGGTATTTCTAGTGGTACTCTCTAGGGGTTTGAACGCTATGTGATCAGCAGGCACGTGAGGATACAGTCTAGCTCTAGATGGTGTCCAGTTACAGAAAGGGGGTAGCATTTTGCTCTCAGTACCTGAGGAAAGCCGCTCCAAGGGCATAGGAGTCACACACAGAGCACAGAGGCAGCACACATACAGAGAGTGCTCAGCCCCAGTCCAGAGGAATTCCACTGTGAGAAACCAAAGTCACTGCCTGATTCTGTTTCACTTCAGCAAGCTTGAATTGAATCCATTTTCAAGGTATTGAATTACTGAATGTTTGGTTTTTGGATTGCTATCATGTATAATTTCTTAGCCTACTGTAGCTGTCCATGACTCTGAGAAACACTTAAGTATGTAATACTGTACCCTAGTATAGTTACCATATGGATGTGTTGCTAGTGCTGGTTGGGTGTCACCATCTATGCACCTGATAGCTATGGGAAACATTTCAGATGTTTGACAAACAAAAGCAAGCCAAAAATTAGTTATTCTCTAGGCCCCCTTGTGCCGTACAATAAGTGTGTGTAACAGGCTAAAGGAAAGTTTATTCATAGGAAGTCTGCATCATCACAATTGATTTGAAAATGTAAATGTTAGCTGAAGGGAATGAATTGTGTCATTCTTCAGTTGATATTGTTAAAAACTAAATGTAACTAAATCTAAACTTTTAACTGACCGGATACATATTGTAAAGCTATACTGGATAAATATCCATTTGGCATTGATGGCACTGTATTATGTATTTGGCACTGTATTATGGCACTGATTATCTATTTATTCAAATATGTTTTAGGAATACACCATGCAATATGTTTTGTTATGTGGTTGGTGGTGTAGTAGACATACCCTTCCTAGTCTGCAGTGTTTATATTTAGAAACCGGTCCTACTTCTGAGCGCATGCCAGCAACCTAGGCTACACCGGCCTCTATAACTGCCGTTTCAACTTTACCCTACTTGGCTGCCGGCCCGGTATATGACATGGAAAAATAAATTCAAGCCAAACTTGTCAGTCAACCGGGCCACAACATAAACAGACTTATGACCTCCACATACAGTTTGAAAATATTAAACTAATCCTTGAAATTACAAAAGGGCTGCCTAGGGCTATTTCTTAGTCATTGTTTCCATGAGTCTATGAAAATGAACGTTTCTCTCACCTGAAATTGATGAAGGTTCGACTTCATTCCCGCATGCATCCATTCCCACCCGTTAGCCTAAAGTTGGTTTGGTTTTGACCGTTAGGCTATAGAGCAATAGTAATGGCGTCTTTTAGTAGGCACTAACTCCGCCATGGCTCGTTGGCCAAAGCCTATGGGAAAATGAATGGGTTTTTTTGGAGAGTTTTTGGATAAATGCCGAAAATAAGGTCTGTGGTAAACACAGGCTTAGGAGGTCTTATACATTGGCTACCAAACTTAAACTTGTCTCAAGAAAAAATGTGTGTGGCAAAGAGCTGAAAAAAACCCTGCCGAACATCTAAATTAACAAAAACGTCACAAGATGGCGTCATTATATATTTGTGCGACAGGCTTAAGCCTGTGTTAACCTCAGACCTTATTGTCGGCATTTATCCCAAAACCCCATTCTTTCCCCATTCATTTCCCCCATGGGAATGGCTGAACAAACCAAAAATAACCAATTTCCAGGTTTTTAGGAATAGAAGCTGGCGAGCTCTATTTGATAATTGCAGATTTTATATATTATATATATCGTCACACAATGAAGTTGGAATAATACTGTGAAATTGTGAAAATGATGATAATGCGCTTTTAGTGTAAGAGCTGTTTGAAAAGGCCTCCTGAAATGTTTGCTTGTTTTGCATGGGCGGGGTTTTGGACCGCCGGCGACATCATCAAGCAGTAGAAGTTGATAGACCAATAACAAATACAGTTTGCCCTCCTCTCTGCCAATAACAGTTAGTTTTCAGGAGACCTATCCCTCCCATTAGGCTCCTCTAATTAGGCCCCTCACTCAGACCCCTCCCAGACAGTCCTAGACAGTCTTGCTTGAGAAATTGCTTCCTGCTATAAAGCTATTTTTATTTATTGTTGACCATTTTAATTGAAAACAATAACAGTAACTTAATTGTTACCCAGAAATAAGTTGATATTGAGATAAAAATGGGCTGCATTGGACCTTTAATATGGAGGAATTAAAAATAACCTCTCTTTTGTATACTAGTGGTGCAAGACTACGCTGAAAATGTTGACTCAATAGTGCACTTTATGATAAAATATATGATAATCAAGATGTAGATATATGTACCCTAAAAATATATAGATATGGAGCCACCCCAGAGTGGGGGCGTGGCAACCACTAGAACAAAAAAATTACTGAAAAATGTAAAAACATATTTAGATTCCAGTCAATGTCTATATACCAAGTTCAGATGCAATTGGAAATTAGTTGATAGTCCATAGCGTTTAAAAAGTTATAGATAAAAGTCTAACGGCACCGGCGCCCATATCGCCTATAACGCCCATATCGGTGGCTATCTTAGGTCATACCGGTACGTCAGACAGATCACAGAAATACAACACTTTAAATGAATAACATAAACATTTTCAGGACAAGTTGCTATGGATGAATTTGATCAAAGTAACTGTTAAAAACATGAAAAACATACAAAAACATCGAATTTGACCATAAATGTGTGAGCATTTAAAAATATATACTTATTTTGGGGAATTAAAACCAATAACGTGTTACAAAAGGTTAATGAAAGAAAGTGTTACTACTTGACAGACAGTGTCTCTTTGCAATCATTACCAATTTGGGGTAAAAATCGACCCCTGTTGGCACTTTTAAGATAAAAATATGTTGGCTCATTTAGGGTTAAAAAAGTTAAACGCATCTCTGTCTATATCTCGCTCTGTTTTTAACAGGGTCTTCGACGTCACCGGGATGGCAGAGGCACATCAGGCAGTTGGCTTCCAGTTCACCGTCACCCCAGACGGTATCGACCTCCACCTGAGCCGCGAGGTACTCAAACACATCTACCTGTCGGGAGTGACGTCATGGAGAAAGCGCGCCATAAGATTTAAGGTTTGTTTTCCAATTATTAAGTAGCCCTACAGTCATTACCAATCCTGAACCTGATAGCTAGCTTGGTTTTTGTTGCAGTCCAGCAATAAAACAACTTATTCAAGTTATTATTATTGCCTTGATTGATTCAGGTGTGTGTAGCCTACTGCTGGGCTGGGACAAATGCTTGCACATCTAGGAATAGCCTTGTTGGTCTGTTTGTAGGCTAACTATCTAAATGAACATTGAATTATATTATTTTATTTCAGAATGGGATATTGACAGGGGTCTACCCTGCCAGCCCATCCAGTTGGCTGATTGTGGTGATAGCCATCATGAGCACAATGTATGCCAGGAAAGACCCATCACTGGGAATGATAGACACCATCAAGAGGACCCTGTCTGTCAGGTCTGTGAGAAAATAACACAATGATGAACATGCATTGGGGAACAGCAATGCAGCTTCTTTTCGACCTGTGGTTATCTGTGGAAAGAAATTCCCAGTGAAGGAACAATAAACATAATTTAGATTGATTGATGGTTAGATATTTTGCCTAATGCTATTTTGTTGTGATACAATGAGGTAAAGTTGTGTTCTCTCCTGTGTCCAGTGGCTACAGACAGTGCAGAGCAGACCCAGACAGTGATGAGTGCCATTCCATTTTAAAACAATTTTAAATAATGTGCTTGCTGCAGTACCTGACTGTATTTTCTCCTCTCCCCTATCTCATCTCTCCTCTCTCCAGTGGCTACATGACAGTGCAGACCCAGACAGTGCTAAGTGCCATCCTGTTTGCCACAGGGCTGTGGCTCTCTCTCATCCTCACGCGGAGGTACACTCTCAAGGCCCTTCTCTCCTACCACTCCTGGATCTTCGAGTCCCACAGCAAAATGAGCTTCTGCACCAAACTCTGGCTGGTACCTCTGTCAAATGTCTCTATTTCAAAATCAACATGATCAAAAGAGCAGCTCACTCATATTTTTACATTTTAGTAATTTAGCAGACACTCTTATCCAGAGCGACTTACAGTTAGTGAGTGCATACATTTTTCATACTGGCCCCCCGTGGGAATCAAACCCACAACCCTGGCGTTGCAAGTGCCACGCTCTACCAACTGAGATCCAGGAGGCCCACTCATAGCTCAGAATCAAGACAATATCTTGTCTGAGCTCAGTATTTGATTATTCTGACAATTAACCCAGTCATTGTGGTGTGTTGTTTCTCCTCAGAGTCTGGTGAAGATGTTCTCTGGGCGCAGACCACTCCTCTACAGCATCCAGACCTCCCTACCCAGACTACCTGTGCCTAGTGTGGACGACACCATAACCAGGGTGAGAGAAAGAGAGGTGTTTATGTGTCTCATATGCTTGGTTGAAATAAAATATCAAACTGATAATTTGTTCAGGAGAGACCAGGACCAGTGTAGAACCGTATATGTACACTACATATCAGTATTATATAATATAATGCTCTATGACCTTGCAGTACCTGGAGTCAGTTCGCCCTCTGCTGGATGATGATCAGTACAACCAGATGGAGGTGGTGGCCAATTCCGATTGTTTCAACGTGTCATGTTAGGTTACATTAAACAATAGTGTTGGTAGCGTTATTTAAGATGCATCCAGTAACCCTTCCCTAATGCTGTATTGATGATCTGATTTAGGATCTGCTGTACGTGACTCCCACACACAGACAGGCAGCTCGAGCAGGGAATGTGGTTCACGCTATGCTGCAGTACCGCCGCAAACTAGAGAGAGGAGAACATGCACCGGTAAGGAAAACCCCTATCTCTGTCTCTCTCACCCCCCTTCTCTCCCTCTCTGTACCCCTGAGAGTATTTAGTTCGCTCCCCCATTTCCCCTTTGACACTCGGTCCTCTCTCTACCCCCTAAATAACCCAGGTCATCTTCCTCCTCCTTATCTGTTAACCTAAATCATCCTCCCACTGCCTTTGACTTATTTCTACTCTACTAAAGTAACCCCACTCTTTTCTCTTTTCTCTCTCTCTCTCTCTCTCTCTCTGTCTTTTCCCCCTCTCTCTCTCTCTTTCTCTCTCTCTCTGTCTTTTCCCACTCTCTCTTTTCTCTCTCTCTCTTTTCTCTCTCTCCCTCTCTGTCTTTCTCTCTCTAGTTGAGGGCTCTGGGGGTGGTGCCCATGTGTTCTTATCAGATGGAGAGGATGTTCAACACCACACGTATTCCTGGTATAGAGACAGGTGAGCACACTGCTGCCTGCTGGGGGCATAACACTATTAGTCTATCGCTGGGTAGTTGCATGACTAAATATGATCATGCATTTGTGTCAGACACATCTTCCGACGATCTTAGACAAAAGCTATAATTCAAGAGAAGCGTTATGTGCATCCTCCCACCCCCCAAATAATGTTCTATGTCCTCTCCTCTCCCCCTCTCCTACTCCATGGTCCAGACTTTGTTCAGCACCTGGTGGTGTACCATAAGGGGCGCTTCTTTAAGGTGTGGCTGTACTATGGGGGACGTCACCTCTGGCCCTCTGAGCTGGAGACTCAGTTCCAGAGGATCCTCAACGACACCACAGTGCCACAGCCTGGGGAACTCAAACTGGCTGCCCTCATAGCCGGCAACAGGTATACACACATAGGCATGAAAGCGCACGTGCAAACACACCTGCACACACACACACAGGGGCACACATACTCAACAGTTTCCTGTGTGTATCAAGAATGGTCCACCATCCAAAGGACATCCAGCCAACTTGACATGATTAATTGGGATGTGTGTTGTGTGAGTCTAATGATTGCTGTGCTATCTCTGTGTAGTATGTCCTAGCAACAGACTGATTCCATCTGGGCTACACAGGGGGGCACTGCAAAGGAGACATCAACAAGGGCCTGCCTCCCCCCGCCAAACTACAATGGGACATTCCACTGGAGGTATGGCTTCTAATGTGTTAGGGATAAAAGTTGTACCTTTAGTAAAGAGGAAAAGGGATGAATGCAAATTCTCTCTGCCCTGTGTCTTGTCTGACCCTGTATGTCCCCTGGTCTCTCCTCCTCCCTCAGTGCCAGGTGGTCATCATCGAGGATTCCTACATTGTTGCCAAAGAGATAGCTGATGACGTGGACTTCCATGGCTGTCTGTTTGACGAGTTTGGGAAAGGCCTGATCAATGACAGTACGACCAGTCCTGATGCCTTCATACAGCTAGCACTGCATCTGGCCCAATTCAGGGTATGACTGTGTGTGCGTGCATATGTGTGTGCATTTTGTCATGACACCTGACCTGATGTCAACGAATCATACCAGACAAACAACACAACACAATGATTGGGTTAACATTAACAACACAAGACACTATCACGTCCCTAGCAATGCATCTGAATGTATTTGTTGTATATGTGTTGTAGGATAAGGGGGAGTTCTGTCTGACGTATGAGGCCTCGATGACCCGGATGTTCTGTGAGGGTCGGACAGAGACGGTTCGCTCCTGCACCTCAGAGTCCACAGCCTTCGTCAGAGCCATGGAGGACAAGAACACTACGGTGAGGACACGCCTTTGTTAATCATGTCAGAGGCAGTATAGAATGCACTAATGACAACACAAGTGCAGGAACAGTCACCTTCCACTTACAGTTGAAGTCGCAAGTTTACATACACCTTAGCCAAATGCATTTAAACTCAGTTTTTCACAATTCCTGACATTTAATCCTAATAAAAATTCCCTGTCGTAGGGCAGTTAGGATCACCACTTTATTTTAAGAATGTGAAATGTCAGAATAATAGTAGAGAGAATTATTTATTTCAGATTTTATTTCTTTCATCACATTCCCAGTGGGTCAGAAGTTTACATACACTCAATTAGTATTTGGTAGCATTGCCTTTAAATTGTTTAACTTGGGTCAAACGTTTCGGGGAGCCTTCCACAAGCTTCCCACAATAAGTTGGGTGAATTTTGGCCCATTGCTCCTGACAGAGCTGGTGTAACTTAGTCAGGTTTGTAGGCCTCCTTGCTCGCACACGCTTTTTCAGTTCTGCCCACAAATTTTCTATAGGATTGAGGTCAGGGCTTTGTGATGGCCACTCCAATACCTTGACTTTGTTGTCCTTAAGCCATTTTGCCACAACTTTGGAAGTATGCTTGGGGTCATTGTCCATTTGGAAGACCCATTTGCGACCAAGCTTTAACTTCCTGACTGATGTCTTGAGATGTTGCTTCAATATATCCACATAATTGTCCTTCCTCATGATGCCATCTATTTTGTGAAGTGCAGCAGTCCCTCCTGCAGCAAAGCACCCCCAACATCATGATGCTGCAACCCCTGTGCTTCACGGTTGGGATGGTGTTCTTCGGCTTGCAAGTTCCCCATTTTTCTTCCAAACACAACGATGGTCATTATGGCCAAACAGTTATATTTTTGTTTCATCAGACCAGAGGACATTTCTCCAAAAGCTACGATCTTTGTCCCCATGTGCAGTTGCAAACCGTAGTCTGGCTTTTTTATGGTGGTTTTGGAGCAGTGGCTTCTTCCTTGCTGAGCGGCCATTCAGGTTATGTCGATATAGGACTTGTTTTACTGTGGATATAGATACTTTTGTACCTGTTTCCTCCAGCATCTTCACAAGGTCCTTTGCTGTTGTTCTGGGATTGATTTGCACTTTTCGCACCAAAGTACGTTCATCTCTAGGAGACAGAACGCGTCTCCTTCCTGAGCTGTTTGACGGCTGCGTGGTCCCATGGTGTTTATACTTGCGTACTATTGTTTGTACAGATGAACGTTGTACCTTCAGGCGTTTTGGAAATTGCTCCCAAGGATGAACCAGACTTGTGGAGGTCTACAATTTTTTTTCTGAGGTCTTGGTTGATTTCTTTAGATTTTCCCATGATATCAAGCAAAGAGGCACTGAGTTTGAAGATAGGCCTTGAAATACTTCCACAGGTACACCTCCAATTGACTCAAATGATGTCAATTAGCCTATCAGAAGCTTCTAAAGCCATGACGTAATTTTCTGGAATTTTCCAAGCTGTTTAAAGGCACAGTCAACTTAGTGTATGTAAACTTCTGACCCACTGGAATTGTGATACATTGAATTCTAAGTAAAATAATCTGTCTGTAAAAAATTGTTGGAAAAATTACATGTGTCATGCACAAAGTAGATGTCCTAACCGACTTGCCAAAACTACAGTTTGTTAACAAGAATATTGTGGAGTGGTTGAAAAACGAGTTTTAATGACTTCAACCTAAGTGTATGTAAACTTCCGACTTCAACTGTACCTGCTATACATGCTAGACATAGACCATCAGACGTTTGACTGTATCTGATGTTAAACACAGTGTGGGTGCAGCACTGCAGGTCAGTAGTTCCACAGTCAGTAGACTTATCTGTGGGAGTTACTGATAGAGAGTGACATGATGTAACTCTGCCAGTAAGGCTCAGGTCACTCTGACTCTGAGAACTAGGTGACCAGGACCCAAATGTCTGTTTCTGGACTCTGATCTCTGAACTCGGCCAGCTACTGGCTATGCACTTTTTGCTTTTGCTCCAGCCTTGCACTAACATACCTGATTCAGCCAATCAAGGTGCTGATAAACAGCTGATAAGTAGAATCAGGTGTGTCTGAGTAGGGCTGCAGCAAGTACCTGCACACTAAGTAGCTCTCCAGGTGGAGGGTTGGCCACCACTGCTCTATCCGTTGTGTTTTTGAGCTGGATCTAGGTTTTGATTGAATATCCTCTGTTGTCTCTGTGGAAAGAGTGCCCAAAGGTTGGACCTCTTCCGAAAGGCTGCAGACAAACACCAAAACATGTACCGTCTGGCCATGACAGGCTCTGGCATCGACAGACACCTCTTCTGTCTCTACATTAAGTACCTCAGCATCGACTCACCATTCCTCAAACAGGTGTGTGTGTGTGATGTTAACACCATTATATGTGTTAAGTGATACTTTGGCGCCCCCCCCCCCCCCCCCCCCCTTCTCCCTCTGTTTAGGTGTTGTCAGAGCCCTGGAGGTTGTCCACTAGTCAGACTCCTCAACAGCAGCTCAACATGGTCGACATCAACAAGTTCCCCAGATACGTGGGCGCAGGAGGAGGGTTCGGCCCTGTGAGTCTGTCGCACGCCCGCACACACAGACATACACATTTGGTAAGAAATTAGCTGGTACCAGAATCTCAAGTTCTACTGCCATTGTGTCCTCTGTTACTTTTTCTACATCTGCTTTTACTTCTATGAAGTGGTCAGAGTTAGGGTTGAGTGGTACTGATGTGTCTCTCCTGTGCCCCCATGTGGCTGATGACGGCTATGGCGTCTCTTACATCATTGTAGGAGAGAACCTCATCACATTCCACATCTCCAGCAAGTTCACCAGCCCTGAGACAGTGAGACCACTGTCTAACACTACACAAACCTACTGAACCATGCAGTATATAGCCCTCACATATTACCTTAATGGCAATTTAGGTGGATATTTATCAGGTCAAACAACTGTCTTGTTCTCTGTAGGGCTCGTACCGCTTTGGACAGAATATTTGACAGGCCATGCTGGACATTTGTGCGCTATTCGACCAAAAATACAAGAAGGAGAAAGAGATGTGATGAGTAGACAGACTGGAAGGTCTTTATAGCCTTCATACCACATTTATATGCGCTGTGACTTTACAGCATTATTTCCCAAACGGCTGGTCACGACTAGTCTCTTCTGGGTAACGACTTTAGACTGGGTCAAGTTATAGAACTTCTGGATATCTACTCAGAGAGCAGGAGGAATTGCTTTGCAGAAATACATATTTAATAAAGTATTTTTACTATTTATTTCAGACACTATCCTTTCTATAAAAGGACAGTGAATTTTGAATATGGTTTTGAACCGATTCTGGCAAGGGCAATGGAGCACATAATGATTAATCTGATTTAGATTGTAGTATAATGATATAATATGAATGTAGCCTTGTAAGGATAAGCCACTCATCTGTTTAGTTCATAGACAGAGGTCGTAGTATTTGCTTCTGATTGTAATATGTGTACAGTATATGTGTACACTTGTAAATACCACCGTTTTGAGTATTTAAGTGTTGTGATATATAAGGTTGTATATCTGAATCTGTTATGCTTATGTATTTATGCGTTTACAGTATATTATCATAAAGGATGTGTTGATTGTTTTACTTCTTCTTTGGACTCCAGGACACAGTTAGAAATGAATACTCTCATACCTCAACTGTGTGGCCAACTACTGCCGTTGCCATGTAAAGCAGAGGAATTATATTCTGGTCTACAAAGTGGTTAGTTACTACATGACAATGATAACTTAGGGCTCTATTCAATCTGTATCACTGAAGCGTTAGATTGTGCACTAGAAATTGTAAGGTCATTTTCGATTGAGCTGACATATGCAGCATTTACCGTGAATGCAGTCTCCGCTAACACGGGAATATTGCCTTTAAATTTCAATCACACTGTAACGGTGAACTTCCACGATAAGGATTGAATAGTTCCTTAATGTTTCTGAATGTATATGGCTACTTCCTGCTTTAAGAAACAAGATGAGAGAACAAACACAGTCCTTCAGTGTAAGAGAGGATCCAGTTTTATTCCGTTTGGAAGCAGAGTGCCATACAACCCTTTATGGTACCAGACATTAGAAAAGGCCTTTTATCAGATGACTGGAGAGTAATAAGACTACACTGATCCCAAACAGGATGATTAGAAACAGATTATAGATTTGAGATACTGTGGAATACTAGTGTTGGCAAATCTGAACAAAGTACATTACTGGCATACAAATGATGGAACCTCTAAGTACTGGAAGATTATAAGGAACATCAGATAGAGTAAGCTCTGCTACACCTACCCCTGCTTCCTGAAAAGGTAGGTGTACAATGCAACAGAGTTGAGACAGAATGCTCTGACTTCTTCAAAATCCTACTCAGTGTAATCACATCTCCATAGGTGAGTATACCAAACTATCTCAGGCAGTTGTGTTCATTTCCTGTAAAATGACTGACTGGATTTAATGTCCTTGTTATGAATGATCATATCACTGATTTGAAGTTCAGGGCAGCAATATGAACAGACGGAGTCCACTTTAGATTCCATCAGTTTGATAGTGCTCTTGTAAAACGCAAGAAAATAAAACATCTATTTTATTTGTTTTGGGGGGAAAAAATACAAAAACTGAAAGTAAAAAAGCAACCCTTATGTTCATACTCCCCTTTAAAAGGTATTTTTCAATCTTTCAAGGCATCGGTTATAGCTTTCAACTTGAACTAGGCTTTTGAACTGTACACATAGTGAACGGACAAACAAAAACGCTATCTCGCTACCCATCACTTACACATGCTTAGCACCCTTTAAAAAGAGCCCAAAAGGCAACGGACACCCGGAGTCTCCTAAAGATTCAAAATGAATCAACATTATCGGATAATCTTCATCATCATCAATTCTCAAACTCAGAAGCTGCTTGCCTCTACAATTAAACATAACGGATTACAACAGACACAAAAGGCAAATGGATTGTTACTTTTGTTCTTTTCTTTTGAGAAATGTTTTCTATAGTTGATAGTGCGTCCGTTGTGTGATGACCTGCCCCTAAGGCTTCTGTCTGAGGCAAGTGTGCATACACACACACACACACACACGTGTACGTGTATACATTTGACACACTCTAGTTTTCTAGAATATGCGAGAAGAAAAAAAAAACTCGGCCGAGCTTGTGGTTCTGGTCTGCGTTGCGGGGGGGGGGGGGGTATTATGAGGTTGCGCCAGGTGTGGGGTTGACATTCTGTGTGGAGAGCTGAGGAGCTACCTCGATGATTCGTGGTTTATCGATGATGCGGGCGGTGCGGTTGCCCTTCTCCACGATGCCGATGATCCAGGCCTGGTGGCCCTCACCGTATTTAGGAGATTTGATCTCAGCGCAGAAACGAGCTGCCTGCTCCCTGGGAAGACAGATCAACAAACCCCCTACAGGTAGAGATAGAGAGGTGGGTGATGAATATGTGTGTGAAAGAGGTGAAAGAGAAGCAAGACAGACCGACAAAAACACATGCACGACCAGACACACACACACACCTGATGTCTCAGGGCAGGTTCCGTGCATGAGTCCAAACATGTTCCCGCAGGCCTTGGACACAGCTGCCATCTTGGCGAGCACGGGGAGGTTGTGGATGACGAACGACACCTCGCTACGCTGTTGCCGTGCCAATGTCTGGGCGTGGCCCAGGATCCCGAAGCCAGTGATGTCAGTGGCGGCGTGGGCGTTGAAGGTGTGCATCAGACCCGCCGCTGGAGAGAGAAAAACAACTACATAAATATTTAAATCACATTGGTCCAAACAATGGTAGAAGACAGGAGAGGAGAAGAGAAAGAAGGGAGGGAGAACAACTTGAGGACAGGTACTTGTTCTGTCGAGTCGGGCTGTGTGTGTGTGTGTAAGACAAATTAAAGCCAACTAATCGTATCAAATGGACAGTATAAATCACGCTTCATTGTCCTTAATTAGGAGAAGTCCAGCCTCAGTATTTTACACACGTGTCTGTGTGGCTGTGTACCTGTCCTGTTGAGCCGGGCCATGTTCATCATGGCTTCCTGATAGGCCAGCTCTACATCCTCCTGAGTCACCACTAGCTTGATCTTATTCCACTTGTCAGGCTGAACAGAGAGATACACACATATTGCTTCAGATGTGCTCATGTATACACATATATATATATACACACACATACATATATATATACACACATACATATACAGTGGGGAGAATAAGTATTTGATACACTGCCGATTTTGCAGGTTTTCCTACTTACAAAGCATGTAGAGGTCTGTCATTTTTATCATAGGTACACATTAACTGTGAGAGACGGAATCTAAAACTAAAATCCAGAAAATCACATTTTATGATTTTTAAGTAATTAATTTGCATTTTATTGCATGACATAAGTATTTGATCACCTACCAACCAGTAAGAATTCCGTCTCTCACAGACCTGTTAGTTTTTCTGTAAGATGCCCTCCTGTTCTCCACTCATTACCTGTATTAACTGTACCTGTTTGAACTCATTACCTGTATAAAAGACACCTGTCTACACACTCAATCAAACAGACTCCAACCTCTCCACAATGGCCAAGACCAGAGAGCTGTGTAAGGACATCAGGGATAAAATTGTAGACCTGCACAAGGCTGGGATGGGCTACAGGACAATAGGCAAGCAGCTTGGTGAGAAGGCAACAACTGTTGGCACAATTATTAGAAAATGGAAGAAGTTCAAGATGACGGTCAATCACCCTCGGTCTGGGGCTCCATGCAAGATCTCACCTCGTGGGGCGTCAATGATCATGAGGAAGGTGAGGGATCAGCCCAGAACTACACGGCAGGACCTGGTCAATGACCTGAAGAGAGCTGGGACCACAGTCTCAAAGAAACCATTAGTAACACACTACGCCGTCATGGATTAAAATCATGCAGCGCACAAAAGGTCCCCCTACTCAAGCCAGCGCATGTCCAGGCCCGTCTGAAGTTTGCCAATGACCATCTGGATGATCCAGAGGAGGAATGGGAGAAGGTCATGTGGTCTGATGAGACAAAAATAGAGCTTTTTGGTCTAAACTCCACTCGCCATGGTTTGGAGGAAGAAGAAGGATGAGTACAACCCCAAGAACACCATCCCAACCGTGAAGCATGGAGGTGGAAACATCATTCTTTGGGGATGCTTTTCTGCAAAGGGGACAGGACGACTGCACCGTATTGAGGGGAGGATGGATGGGGCCATGTATCGCGAGATCTTGGCCAACAACCTCCTTCCCTCAGTAAGAGCATTGAAGATGGGTCGTGGCTGGGTCTTCCAGCATGACAACGACCCGAAACACACAGCCAGGGCAACTAAGGAGTGGCTCCGTAAGAAGCATCTCAAGGTCCTGGAGTGGCCTAGCCAGTCTCCAGACCTGAACCCAATAGAAAATCTTTGGAGGGAGCTGAAAGTCCATATTGCCGAGCAACAGCCCCGAAACCTGAAGGATCTGGAGAAGGTCTGTATGGAGGAGTGGGCCAAAATCCCTGCTGCAGTGTATGCAAACCTGGTCAAGACCTACAGGAAACGTATGATCTCTGTAATTGCAAACAAAGGTTTCTGTACCAAATATTAAGTTCTGCTTTTCTGATGTATCAAATACTTATGTCATGCAATAAAATGAAAATTAATTACTTAAAAATCATACAATGTGATTTTCTGGATTTTTGTTTTAGATTCCGTCTCTCACAGTTGAAGTGTTCCTATGATAAAAATTACAGACCTCTACATGCTTTGTAAGTAGGAAAACCTGCAAAATTGGCAGTGTATCAAATACTTGTTCTCCCCACTGTATATATACACACATACATATATATATATATATATATATATATACACACACATACATACATACATACATTGACACAAGCACACACATATATACAGATGAAGTTGGAAGTTTACATACACCTTAACCTGAGTTTAAATGTATTTAGCTTTCACAATTCCTGACATTTAATCCTAGTAACAATTCCCTGTCTTAGGTCAGTTAGGATCACCACTTTATTTTAAGAATTTGAAATGTCAGAATAATAGTAGAGAGAATGATTTATTTCAGCTTTTATTTATTTCATAACATTCCCAGTTGGTCAGAAGTTTACATACACTCAATTGGTATTTGGTAGCATTGCCTTTAAATTGTTTAACTTGGGTCAAACGTTTCGGGTAGCCTTCTACAAGCTTCCCACAATAAGTTGGGTGAATCTTAGCCCATTCCTCCTGACAGAGCTGGTGTAACTGAGTCAGGTTTGTAGGCCTCCTTGCTCGTGCACGCTTTTTCAGTTCTGCCCACACATTTCCTATAGGATTGAGGTCAGGGCTTTGTGATGGCCACTCCAATACCTTGACTTTGTTGTCCTTAAGCCATTTTGCCACAACTTTGGAAGTATGCTTGGGGTCATTGTCCATTTGGAAGACCCATTTGCGACCAAGCTTTAACTTCCTGACTGATGTCTTGAGATGTTGCTTCAATATATCCACATAATTTTCCATCCTCATGATGCCATCTATTTTGTGAAGTGCACCAGTCCCTCCTGCAGCAAAGCACCCCCACAGCATGATGCTGCTACCCCCGTGCTTCACGGTTGGGATGGTGTTCTTTGGCTTGCAAGCCTTCCCCTTTTTCCTCCAAACATAACGATGGTCATTATGGCCAAACAGTTATATTTTTGTTTCATCAGACCAGAGGACATTTCTCCAAAAAGTACGATCTTTGTCCCCATGTGCAGTTACAAACCGTGGTCTGGCTTTTTTTATGGCGGTTTTGGAGCAGTAGCTTCTTCCTTGCTGAGCGGCCTTTCATGTTATGTCGATATAGGACTTGTTTTACTGTGGATAAAGATACTTTTGTACCCGTTGCCTCCAGCATCTTACATTTACGTCATTTAGCAGACGCTCTTATCCAGAGCGACTTACAAATTGGTGCATTCACCTTATGATAGCTAGTGGGACAACCACTTTAACTCACAAGGTCCTTGTGCTGTTGTTCTGGGATTGATTTGCACTTTTCGCACCAAAGTACGTTAATCTCTAGGAGACAGAATGCGTCTCCTTCCTGAGCGGTATGACGGCTGCGTGGTCCCATGGTGTTTATACTTGCGTACTATTGTTTGTACAGATGAACCTGGTACCTTCAGGCGTTTTGGAAATTGCTCCCAAGGATGAACCAGACTTGTGGAGGTCTACAATTCTTTTCTGAGGTCTTGGCTGATTTCTTTAGATTTTCCCATGATATCAAGCAAAGAGGCACTGAGTTTGAAGGTAGGCCTTGAAATATATCCACAGGTACACCTCCAATTGACTCAAATGATGTCAATTAGCCTATCAGAAGCTTCTAAAGCCATGACGTCATTTTCTGGAATTTTCCAAGCTGTTTAAAGGCAGAGTCAACTTAGTTTATGTAAATTTCTGACCCACTGGAATTGTGATACATTGGATTATAAGTGAAATAATCTGTCTGTAAACAATTGTTGGAAAAAGTACTTGTCATGCACAAAGTAGATGTCCTAACCGACTTGCCAAAACTGTGGTTGAAAAACAAGTTTTAATGACTCCAACCTAAGTGTATGTAAACTTCCGATATATATATATATATATATATATACACACACACACACAGTATATATTACTTTAGACCACCTTGAATGAATGAAAACAACCGATAAAGCTTTGACTGTACAGGTTGTTATTTTTGGACAAATACAGACACCTTGTTTGTTGACATTTTAGTGTCGAAGTTACAATATAACCTATTAAATGAAATGAAAGGTGGTTTGTGTGTTGATACTTACGATGTCCAGCCACTGGTGTACAGCCACAGCCACCTGAGTCCCCAGAGGTTTGGTGAGAACCAACACATCTCCTGGCACTGCGTTATCTGGCCTGTGGGATAGCAGAGAACACATCACCATGATCACTTCTGATATATATATACACACATGTATTTATTTTTTATTATTTAACCTTTATTTAACTAGGCAAGTCAGTTAAGAACAAATTCTTATTTACAATGACAGCCTACACCGGCCAAACCCGGACGACGCTGGGCCAATTGTGCACCGCCCTATGGGACACCCAATCACGGCCGGTTGTGATACAGCCTGGAATCGAACCAGGGGGTCTGTAGTGACACCTCAAGCACTGAGATGCAGTGCCTTAGACCGCTGCACCACTCGGGAACCCCATATCATTACTATCACAACACAAAATACAGCTCACATGAACAAACTAGCAATAGTTCAGAGGCTTAAACAGAGAACAAGAGAGAGAGAGAGAGGAGAGAGCGAGAGAGAGGGGGCAAGAGATCGACAGAAGGGTAGCTGTCTATGTGGAGAGCATTCTTACATGATGAACTCATTGGGTTGACAGACTGTGGTGGCCACACCCCCCATGACCACCCAGGGGTTAAGCACCGTCTGTCCCCCCGTCACAGACGTGCCTGCTTCCTCCGACGCGTCTTTGAACCCCTGGATGATCAGAGGCATCACCTTGTCCCGCTCCTGACAGGGGCATAGAGAAAGGGGAGGGACAATTTAGTGGCTGGGTGCTACCCATTGGTGGTGTGTATGTGTCCATGCCATTTACCTTTTCTGAAAGTTTGTTACTGATCCCCAGTAGCATCAGCATGTTGTCACATTCTGTCACTCCCATGGCGTACAGGTCACTTAGAACGTTGGCACACGCAATTCGCCCCTTCAGACAGTTATCAAGAAGACATTATTGACATGATATAGATACACTACATGACCAAAAGTATGTGGACACCTGCTCGTCGAACGTCTCATTCCAAAATCATGGGCATTAATATGCAGTTGGTCCCCCCTTTGCGGCTATAACAGCCTCCACTCTTCTGGGAAGGATTTCCACTAGATGTTGGAACATCGCTGCAGGGACTTGCTTCCATTCAGCCACGAGCATCAGTGAGGTCGGGCACTGATGTTGGGCGATTATGCCTGGCTCGCGGTCGGCATTCCAATTCATCCCAAAGGTGTTTGATGGGGTTGAGGTCAGGGCTCTGTGCAGGCCAGTCAAGTTCTTCCACACCGATCTCGACAAACCATTTCTGTATGGACCTCGATTTGTGCACGGGGGCATTGTCATGCTGAAACAGGAAAGGGCCTTCCCCAAACTGTTGCCACAAAGTTGGAAGCACAGAATCGTCTAGAATGTCATTGTATGCTGTAGCGTTAAGATTTCCTTTTACTGGAACTAAAGGGGCCTAGCCCGAACCATGAAAAACAGCCCCAGACCATTATTCCTCCATCAAACTTTACAGTTGGCACTATGCATTCGGGCGGGTAGCGTTCTCCTGGCATCCACCAAACCCAGATTTGTCTGTCGGACTGCCAGATGGTGAAGCGTGATTCATCCCGCTACAGAACGCGTTTCCACTGCTCCAGAGCCCAATGGTAGCGAGATTTACACCACTCCAGCCAACGCTTGGCATTTCGCATGGTGACCTTAGGCTGCTCGGCCTTGGAAACCCATTTCATGAAGCTCCCGACGAACAGTTCTTGTGCTGAGGTTGCTTCCAGAGGCAGTTTGGAACTCGTGAGTGTTGCAACCGAGGACAGACAAATTTTACGCGCTTCAGCACTCGGCAGTCCCATTCTGTGAGCTTGTGTGGCCTACCACTTCGCGGCTGAGCCGTTGTTGCTCCTAGACGTTTCCACTTCACAATAACAGCACTTACAGTTGACCAGGGCAGCTCTAGCTGGGCAGAAATTTGATGAACTGACTTGTTGGAAAGGTTGCATCCTATGACAGTGCCACGTTGAAAGTCACTGAGCTCTTCAGTAAGGCCATTCTACTGTCAATGTTTGTCTATGGAGATTGCATGGCTGTGTGTTTGATTTTATACACCTGTCAGCAACGGTGTGGCTGAAATAGCCGAATTCACTAATTTGAAGGGGTGCCACATACTTTTGTATATATAGTGTATGAATGAAGATAACACATACTCTGCTCAAAGTGAAAGACGCCTGTCCAAAGTTCTCCGTAACTACACAATCTACAGTGCGTTCGGAAAGTATTCAGACCCCTTGACTTTTTCCACATCTTGTTATGTTACAGCCTTATTCTAAAATGGATTAAATAAATACAAATCCTCATCAATCTACACACACTACCCCATAATGACAAAGGAAAAACTGTTTTTTAGAAATCTTTGCAAATGTATTAATAATAAAAAACAGAAATGCCTTATTTACATAAGTATTCAAACCCTTTGCTATGAGACTCGAAATTGAGCTCAGGTGCATCCTGTTTCCATTGATCATCCTTGAGATGTTTCTACAACTTGATTGGAGTCCACCTGTGGTAAATTCAATTGATTGGACATGACTTGGAAAGGCGCACACACCTGTCTATATAAGGTCCCACAGTTGACAGTGCATGTCAGACCAAAAACCAAGCCATGAGGATGAAGGAATTGTCTGTAGAGCTCAGAGACAGGATTGTGTCGAGGCACAGATCTGGGAAAGGGTACCAAAAAATTTCTGCAGCATTGAAGGTCCCCAAGAACACAGTGGCCTCTCATTCTTAAATGGAAGAAGTTTAGAACCACCAAGACTCTTCCTTGAGCTGGCCGCACGGCCAAACTGAGCAATAGGGGGAGAAGGGCCTTGGTCAGGGAGGTGACCAAGAACCCGATGGTCACTCTGACAGAGCTCCAGAGGTCCTCTGTGGAGATGGGAGAACCTTCCAGAAGGACAACCATCTCTGCAGTACTCCACCAATCAGGCCTTTATGGTAGATTGGCCAGACGGAAGCCACTCAGTAAAAGGCACATGACAGCCCAAGATTGAACTCTTTGGCCTGAATGCCAAGCATCACGTCTGGAGGAAACCTGGCACCATCCCTACGCTGAAGCATGGTGGTGGCAGCATCATGCTGTGGGGATGTTTTTCAACGGCAGGGACTGGGAGACTAGTCAGGATCGAGGGAAATATTAATGGAGCAAAGTACAGAGAGATCCTTGATGAAATCCTGCTCCAGAGCGCTCGTGACCTCAGACTGGGGCATAGGTTCACCTTCCAACAGGATAACGACCCTAAGCACACAGCCAAGACAACGCAGGAGTGGCTTCGGGACAAGTCTCAATGTCCTTGAGTGGCCCAGCAAGAGCCCGGACTTGAACCCGATCGAACATCTCTGGAGACCTGAAAATAGCTGTGCAGCGACGCTCCCAATCCAACAAGTCAAGGGGTCTGAATACTTTCCGAATGCACTGTATATGGTATTCACAGGACCTAAAGCATGTGAGGTATACCTGAAAACAGTAACACAAAGAGGGGTACAGAATGAGAACACACCATCATGTAGGGGTCATCCACTATGGGGTAGATGTAGTCTGTCGTCTGGACGAGAGAAAGGCCCCCGTGTCGGAGGGGGATGACACAGGTGTCCATACCAATGCCTGCATAGAACAGAGTTATTATTAAACTGTAAAAGTTATCCAAAGAATGGATGTGAGTTAAGTGTGCGTGTTTGTTCATACCAAGTCTGGGCATGACTGCCCCGAGGAACTGTTCATCCTCCTGATAGTGGTTCTCCTGCAGGGCTTCTAGAAGCTTCTGTAGCACATCCTGGGGCACCTAGGGAATAACAAGCACATTCATCGCACTTTACATTGTATAGTTATGAACATAAAGTAAATGTCTGCTCATTGCTCCCAAACATGATTTCATATTGAAGCTAGTGATACAGCAAGTAATATTCGGAAGCAGCAAAGACTGAGTGGACATTAACATTCTATTTATTGCCATTATACCAGTAGCCAGTCTTAGATGTATCCTAATAACTCTCTGTTTACAGCACCAGGGGTGTAGAAAAACCCACCTTGCAGCCCGTTCCTTTGAGCTCAGTGAAGCGTGTGAGTCTGAAGCTCTTGTCTAGCTCGTAGCTCTCTGGGTTAAACGACTCTCTGACAGACATGGCTGGAAACACTTTGGGACCTCAGTCAATAACCTGGGAATAGAGGAGAGAGGGATGAGTAACATGGCTGGAGTAACGCTGGACATTCACCACTGACTACACCTCTTCTCTGTTCAACCAATCAGCATCTAGGATCAGGATACAGTGACTAAGGATGACAGAACAGAGAAGGACTGAGGGATGAGTGAAGGAGAGAGGGTGTAAAACATTAAAGATTCAGTTCTAAACTGAAAAGGTAGAGGCATAGTGGGTGCTGACATTTGGTTAAAACGTATCCTCGTTTGTGTTGAAGAATGATTGACTACGTCAAAGTGCTATTAATGGAGATTAGGTTATTACTCCAAAATGTCCAAAGTGAGAACTTGCAAATACCTAATATAACTAAAACTATCTGTGCATTTATGTATCTTTCAGTGGCTGAATCAGTTGATTAATGGCTTGAATTTGTTGCAAAATCCTATCTAGACTCAATCATTAATGAATCACTCAAAATACATCTGAGGGAAAAAGTTAACTTCTTAGAACTGTCAGAGATGTTTAAAGTAGGATAAATCCATCCAGACAGATTGTTCCAATGATAGGATTGCTAAATCGTATTTGATTGTTCTAGTGAGCTGCCTACCAGGGATGTAGTGCTGCATGGGGAGCAGCGGCAGAGCAGCAATTTGAGAACACAAAGTTGGTGAAAATATTTCTGGAAATGTATTCTGATAAATTATACTTATTTACCACTCAAATTCCATGAAAATGATAGAATGACAAAGTAAATACCTATGTAGGCTATAGCAGCCTATAGGTAGGTAAATGGTGGTTTCTCCCCGGTCTTCCCTCTCTCTGGCGGTGGCGCGAATGATGAATAAATGTAGGTGTGTGTGCAGAGGCCTGTCAGTAGGAGGCTTGACCACTTTGTGCGGGCCAAATCCGACGTAACAAGAAAAGCCACTGACAGAAAACTCTACCAGTTGCTAAAACTGTCCTCAAAACAGTTTGTTATGGACTTAGGGATCATGTACGACGCACTTGAACTCGCCCTACTGTCCGAGTGCTTAGCTTACAGAAACGTACCACCTCTATTACATATGCAGACAAACGGATCCACTGCATGAATCATCAAACTAATACGATCTGGGAACCTAATTCACCGTGTCTGCCTTGATGTTCATAAAACTCCACGTACCCCTCTTGCGCAATGGAACCCAGAACGATATGTGACCACTCGGTTAAGGTGCTGTCCTTTCACCACCACGATTCGAAGGGCCCTCAAATCGCTTAAAATAACCCTCATCAAGACATGTTGCCTATGCTTAATAGTCCTACTCATCACTTATTATTATTACAAATAGAAGATTATCACTTCTCACAATGGTGCTTGTTTAGTAATCAAAGCTGAATCAATGTCTCGCAAGATCACAATGATTAATTAGTATGTTACATAACAGAACTGAATATAATAGTAGGGTCTATATACTGTAGCATGGTAGGCCTATAATATGTTACACCAAAAACACCTCCTCAGTCATTTCTTATCTGAAGCTGAATAGTCATTTTTTCCCTCATGTGGCCGAAACTAGGCAGGATATAGTCCTATGTTTTGATTGAAACAAAATAGGCCTACAAGAAAGGCTAATAGTTTAACACCATCTGCTTTAATTCGCTTAAGAAGATCTAAATACATATGCCCGTTCCATGATCTCGCCATCACGGTTGACAACTCCGTTGTGTCCTCCTCCCAGAGTGCGAAGAGCCTTGGCGTGACCCTGGACAACACCCTGTCGTTCTCCGCTAACATCAAGGCGGTGACCCGATCCTGCAGGTTCATGCTCTACAACATTCGGAGAGTACGACCCTGCCTTACACAGGAAGCGGCACAGGTCCTAATCCAGGCACTTGTCATCTCCCGTCTGGATTACTGCAACTCGCTGTTGGCTGGGCTCCCTGCCTGTGCCATTAAACCCCTACAACTCATCCAGAATGCCGCAGCCCGTCTGGTGTTCAACCTTCCCAAGTTCTCTCACGTCACCCCGCTCCTCCGCACACTCCACTGGCTTCCAGTTGAAGCTCGCATCTGTTACAAGACCATGGTGCTTGCCTATGGAGCTGTGAGGGGAACGGCACCTCCGTACCTTCAGGCTCTGATCAGACCCTACACCCAAACGAGGGCATTGCGTTCATCCACCTCTGGCCTGCTGGCTCCCCTTCCTCTGCGGAAGCATAGTTCCCGCTCAGCCCAGTCAAAACTGTTCGCTGCTCTGGCACCCCAATGGTGGAACAAGCTCCCTCACGACGCCAGGACAGCGGAGTCACTCACCACCTTCCGGAGACATTTGAAACCCCACCTCTTTAAGGAATACCTGGGATAGGATAAAGTAATCCTTCTTCGCCCCCCCTAAAAAAATAATAATAATAAAAAATTGTAAAGTGGTTATCCCACTGGCTATAGGGTGAATGCACCAACTTGTAAGTCGCTCTGGATAAGAGCGTCTGCTAAATGACGTAAATGTAAATTCCCATTAACTTTATTGAGATCAAATGATTGGCATGCAGTTTGGAGATTTCACTGGTAAAACGTGAAGAATTATCATTCAAGATTGACAGTGATGATGGCCTATTTTGAAATGAGGTATGCCTAACTTGGTGTTTAAGGGTGTTCAAAATAGAAAATGTTATTCTGACAATATGTGTGGGCATAGGAAGACGTTGCAATTGGATAATGTATTTTATGCAGAGGCCTATTCTACAATGATATATAGGCTACATCTGTTGGTACAAACTTTGATTGAGAAATTATGACATCTTTTAATGTTATTTTTTTCGCTCCCTCCCCTAAAAAAAAATAGCACTACATCACTGTTTACAAACACCTGCATGGACATAGAATCAGACCTAACTCATGTAATTTGATTGAAAAATAGAACAGAAATATAATACATTATATGAAAGAAAATCCCAGCAACAGGCTTGTTCTCGGACTAGGAGCAAACTTTCCCTGTGTGATCGACCCTGTATTTCATCATGGCTGGCTAAATTGTTGCGCTCGGGGTCTAGTTTGAAACAGTTTAACAGGGGCGTTTTGGAGGCTCCTGAAACAGTGCGAGGAGGATGTGAAGTTGGGCTAGTGTGCGCCAGCTCCAGTTAAATCATGCAATTTGCAGCCAACTTTCAACTTCAGCAGTCAAAAGTTGTAAATATTAACTCTCTACGGACATTAAAACATTATGTTATCAATAGTTCGGTGGGCTTTTCCTGTCTTGCAGCTGCAAGACAGGAAAAGCCCACCGCATTGAAGCCTGCCCGAGAGCTAGCCCACCGAATTGAAGCCTGCCTGAGAGCTAACGTTTGCTAATCAATGAGTTAGCTAGCTAACTTATGTGCTATCAATCAAGTGGGACATCGTTTGTATGACTGATTGGGCCTCATACAAGAGTTAAAAAGCGTATAAAATAGTACTGTAATCGAAACCTGAACAATAAGGAGCATTTTATGTTTCGAAGTAAGCGGGAGGCGCAGTGCATAAAAATGTCGGCGGTGGAAAAAATTAACCCCTTCGTGTCCAGCGCCATGCATGACGTACAACAACAGACTTTCTAACAATAAAATAGCGCCATACATGCAACTTGCACACAGTTTGTCATCATATGCTGCCTTAAATATATTTTAAGTACCCCCCTTTGCATTTATAGGGCTGAAGCGGCGTTATATTCCTATAACATTTCCCCTTTAATTGCTCTCACCAGTTTATCCTTACCGGTTTTGCTTTAGCTTCGGGTCTCGCGATACAAGAGAAGGGACGGTACCAGAATGCATTTGGAGTAAATCGGTTGCCTTTGAAGATAGCCTGACGAAAAATACATTCATTTTTAATTTTTGTTTTACAACAGAATATTACATTTATTCGGCGTTGGGATGTGCATGCATCAGATTATATCGCACCGTGAGGAAAGTCATCACACCTGGTGAATTCTTTAGATTAAGCACGAGCAAAGATACTCTTTTGTCAGTGGCACGAGATCACAAAGGGTCCTTCACAAGGAGACTGGCGGTTTTACCTCCCCTTTAAACAACCGCAGAGTCTGGCAATAAAAAGCGAACAATGGATTGTACCTTTAATGTAGTATTTCCCCTCCAATATGATCCCTCACATCAGTAGTATTACAAATGTTCTAATCTAGTTTGTAGCATTTACAGTAGAAACAGTGCATGCATAATGGTATATGATTGTACACTCAATGTGAAATTACCTCTGAATTCCAGTATATGTTAAGTATCTGTTTATATAAAATCTGGTATTAGTGTGTGGTTTTAACCATGTGGAAAAAGACACTGATAACTCTCTTTGTAAATGAATGCCTGAATGAATAATTTGCATTAATCGACTTGCTAAATGTAATTTGAATTAGCTCTTACAATTATACACCTAATATGTCAGGATAAAGGCATTGATGCATCTGGTAACTACTGGATGGAGCTGATATGAGGGTTAAGCCATGGGAACATAAACTATAATTTATAGTAGACAATTCATAAAGTCTAGGGGCGCGTTCGAGCAGATAATTTGTATGAAGTCGGTGACCATCTTTCAAAGTGTGTTGCATTATGGGGTTAAAAATGTCTGACTAGCGCCTACATGTCAACTGTATGAACTTTACAAACATCATGTGATCAAAGGTCATGAAAGGTTTTGGTCGCGTTCCCCGGCTCAGACGTTCAATGCCACGCCAACCCAGGGGCGGTGTGTTCATTAGGGCGATATGGGCGACGCACTGCCAAACGGGAAAAGGAAGGGATTTTTTTTCTAATCAATTATATCACGGAAACAGTAGTTATCAGTGTTCTAATCTAGACGTCTGATCTGCCACTAAATGTCCAATCAGGCTAAAGTCGTGCTTCAAATGGCCCCGCCCCTTTTGGGGTGATTTCAGTCAGGTTGAAAATCGCCCCAGAAGTCTCTCATAGACTGTAATGTAAAATCTTTTTTTTTCAAATATCAGAGCTTTCAATACAATCTCTATGGGTTTCTGAGGGCTTGCACTTACGCGCTTTCGTCATACGTAACATAACCATGAACGTAACTAAGAAAAGAGCGGGTAGCAGCGTCAATCAATTCACGTACTACTCTCTCACTCAAGATGGCTAGCGTTCAGTGCAACTCGATTGTCTCTTTGAAAGAAGTTCACATCAAAGACCATTCAAAACGAGCTACTGGAGTGTATGCTAGCGGTCATGAGGGAACATATTGTGGAGGAGGTGAAGTCGGCGAACTTCGTAGCTATCCAAGCTGACGAGACCACGGACGTTTCTACACAGACACAGCTGGTGCTTGTGCTGAGGTACATAGATAGCAACCACAAAGTGCAGGAGCGCTTTTTTGAGTTCCTTCCCATCTCGGAATCAACCTCAGTCTCAATCGACAGTGTGCTTTTGGAGAGACTGAGTGGTCTTTTTGCCGACGACGAGAAAGTCAAACTGTGGTGCACTGGCACTGTACCAGGTTCTCATGAGCTACAACCTCCAGGAGACGTTCTCTGAGACTGTGACTCTGTTGAACATCCTCATAACTACTCCCATGACAACAGCTGAAGCTGAGAGATGTTTCTCAACTTTGACACGAGTTAAGACATTCCTGCGAAATTCAATGGGCCAGGAACGTCTGAATGCACTGGCCATGCTTTCCATGGAGAGGGAACTAGTCCTCAGCATGCCTGATTTCAATGAGAAAGTCATTGACCGCTTTGCTGCATTGAAAGAGAGAAGAGAACAGTTTCAGTACAAGTAATGTAGCCTCTCTCTCTCTTTGTCCCTCCCTGTCTGTCTCTGTAACACACACACGCCCAAATCAGTTCACAGTTGATGTTGTTTAAAATAGTTATTTTTCATTCAAAAAAAAGTAAAAAAAATTAAATAATCTGTTCATGTTCATTTTTACAAATCTATACAATTGGCCAGAATATGGTTGTTCATATTTACAAATCTATACAATTGGCCAGAATATGGTTGTTCATTTTTACAAAGCCATACAGATAGCTGTGTTTACCTTTTCTAGAAATTATTTTCAAATTCTGTTTTCAGGCAAAATGTCTATCACTGTTCATTTTCACAAATCTATACAAGAGGGCAGAATATGGAAGTCTATAAAAATTTCTTATTACCAATAACTTGCATCAATGTTTTCAGTAGCCTCTATCAAAAGCTCCTGCTTGCTTGTTGTGAATTATGCTCAGGTGCACATATTTCCAATTAAACCATGAGGCAAAAAATGTGGTAAAAGCTCTTGATGATCCTGCAATCTGAACAAATACCAAGATGCTGTATTTTCAGCTGATATTTCATTTGTTTATGGAAATGCATATTGTTTATGCAGTGTTGAGGAATGTGAAAGAACACCCTTGATTATTTTTACTGTGATAACTTATTTTGCTTTTGTAAGCCAACACTTTTGAGACCTACCGATCCTTGACTTCGGCGATGTCATTTACAAAATAGCCTCCAACACTCTACTCAGCAAATTGGATGTAGTCTATCACAGTGCCATCCGTTTTGTCTCCAAAGCCCCATACACTACCCACCACTGTGACCTGTACGCTCTTGTTGGCTGGTCCTCACTACATGTTCGTCGTCAAACCCACTGGCTCCAGGCCATCTATAAATCACTGCTAGGCAAATCCCCGCCTTATCTTAGCTCATTGGTCACCATAGCAGCACCCACCCGTAGTCTGCGCTCCAGCAGGTATATCTCACTGGTCATTCCCAAAGCCAACACCTCCTTTGGCCGCCATTCCTTCCAGTTCTCTGCTGCCAATGACTGGAACGAATTGCAAAAATCTCTGAAGCTGGAGACTCTTATCTCCCTCAATAACTTTAAGCATCAGTTGTCAGAGCACCTTACCGATCACTGCACCTGTACACAGCCCATCTGAAATTAGCCCACCCAACTACCTCATCCCTATATTGTTATTTTTTATTTTGCTCTTTTGCACCCCAGTATCTCTATTTGCACATAATCTCTTGCACATCTAGCATTCCAGTGTTAATACTATTGTAATTATTCTGCACTATAGCCTATTTATTGCCTTACCTCCATAACTTGCTACATTTGCACACACTGTATATATATTTTCTGTTGTATTTCTGACTTTATGTTTTTTTTTTTACCCCATATGTAACTCTGTGTTGTTTTTATTGCACTACTTTGCTTAATCTTGGCCAGGTCGCAGTTGTAAATGAGAACCTGTTCTCAACTGGCTTACCTGGTTAAATAAAGGTGAAATAAAAATAAAAAATAAAAAAATAAATGCTTCTGGCATTGACTTATATGCTGCCCCTGTCTTCATGTTGTTGCTGGACATATCTTTTTTTAAATGTGTGTAGGTCACCTAAATCATCAGAAAAATTGCCCCCCCTGAGAATTTTTTCAGGAGCCGCCACTGCGCCAACCAATGGTTGCATGCCACGTCATCGACTGTGCAGTTGGGCACCAGATTGCTATAACATATGATGTGGTTTGCTGATACGTAAAATATCCATGTGTTGTAAGATCTGGCAGGCGTCAGCAACGTCTGAGCAGCGTCTGAGCAGAGGATACGGAACCTTTGACTGCAGTCGACTGCAAGTTTCTGCAGTTGTTACCAACTTCATCCTGCAGCCATGCCTGCATTGTGGGAGGCTCTATTGCCAACCAATCATTAGGTTGTTTTTGTTTGACCCACGCGAATGTTACCAAAGACATGACTGAAACCAACTTTGCCGTGATTCCTGTATACAGTGGATATGTACACATGAATGTGATATTTGATGCTCTCTCTCACCGATTGATTGTACAATGTACACACATATGATTTCATAATGTGAGTGTGTGATGTAGTGGTTGGTTCCATGTTTATTTCGACATTACAAAGAAAAAAGTTTATAAACAAATGCAACACTGCAAGTCTTGCTGTTGGAAAACCACATTAGTGTCCGACTTTCAGCTGTGGCAGTTACACCTTCCCCGACTTCACTCCTCAACTTTCGTCTACAGTCAGTTGCTTTCACCTTACCACTCAAATGCGCCCAAGATGTTTCCACCTGTGTGTTGTAAGGAGAGGAGGCTTTTGATATGTTCCAACAGAACCAGAAAGGTGTTGGGCTCCTGGCAAACACCAGACGGAGAAAATCACCTTTTTAAAAATGTCATCGGGTATAACTTTTTTACTTTATATTTTCATATATGTATAAACTGGTATTGTGCTGGAGATAATGAAAATGAGGTTGAAAAGTGGTGGAAGTGCCCTTTAACTCTAACCCTAATCTCACCCCAACACTGTGTACTTGCTCATTTTCAGTTCTGACAATCTCACTTGAACTCTTGTTCATAATTCTAGCATGATACTGACATAATCAGAGGAGCAATCAATTACAGTGTTTGCTCTCAAAGCAGCAGTCATCACCAACTAAAACACAGTACCATCAGACCCTATTTATTTAAATATGTATTATACACAGTCATCTGTACATGTACACAAAGGAGCCTTACATGAAGGTGTTGGCAGGTGGCACAGTGAACACAAATAAAAACAGTACTGTCCTATTGGTCACATTAATAACATGAATGGCACTGAGGTGCATAGTGAGTGGCAGGTTAGAATGCCATTAAGACAACACATTACAGTCTACATCGTATACAAAACCAGAACTATTTTAAAAGCCGCAATCTGTAAATTCAAAGATGTCACCTGGAAGACATGTTTTTATTTACTAGGACTGAGGGACTTTACAAGTGCAAAACAAAGCGTTACCAGGAAGTTATCCACCTGTTTTCTGATAAACAGTCATAAAGAGACAACAACCCTGCTGTGTTTTCGCTGGTGACCAGCCTTCATAGTTCTTTCGCTGGTGACCAGCAGGGTTGGGGTCAATTCCAATTGAATTTCAAATTCCAAATTCAATTCTGGAATTCAAGCAGGAAGTAGAGAATTTACTTGGAATTGAATTGGAATTGCAGCAATCTTCAAACAACTTCATTTGATTTAAACAGGAATTTAGACTGTCTAAATTGGAATTGAATTGGAATTGGAAAATAAAAACATCCTAATGAATGTAATTTAGAATTTTTAAACTTTGTGCTAATTCCATTTACTGGAGTTAATGCATTTAGCACACTGGGATATATGCAAATGTAGGCAAATATCTGCATATATCCCAGAGTGCCAGTTAGTGAACGTTGGAATTACCACCCCGTGAGTCACCGTGACCGTGTTAGCTAGTGACAGAAACATGGTTTTTTGCATTTCATTCTTATCAAACCTGTAGCCTTCACCAAGTGAGTGCCTAAGTGAATATATTATCCTTAAAATGTTACCTTTTATGACAATACATTACAAACTGTATCATAAGGCTATACCTCAACAGCCTAGTTTTACCCTAACACAGTGGTCTGAAACTCCTGGTTTGCAGGCCACAACAGGCAAGTCACATTATGCTGGCTTGCAAAGTGATATGTAATTCCAATTGGAATCCAGGCAGTCAAGATTCCAGCAATTGGAACTTTTAATCACCCGCAACCTGCATTTAGAATGACTGCCAAGGTAGGGAGTTGGACAAATGAGACTGGTTTAGGTAGTCTCCTTTGTCCAACTCCCTACCTTGGCAGTTGGACAAAGGAGACTACCTAAACCAGGGATGGACAGCTTTGATTGGGTTGGGGGCCACAAAAAATCTGAACTCATCATGAGGGGCTGCAGTGGCTCGCGGGTCTGCGTAACCACATCCATACCCACATATGCAGTCAAAGCCTGCCCTAACATTTTAGTGTCTCTGCTTGACAGGAGAGAAAAAACATAAGTTAATTTCCTGAAATTATTTTTTTACATGGATCGTATAGAAAATGTTGCAGTTTTAAAGCAAGTTTGCTGCAACTCTACATATTTTTCCATTGGGCGGATAATTTTTTTTGCAATTTTACAGCTAATTACCTGCAATTCTTCACATTTTGCCATAGGGTGGAGAGAAATGTTTGTTTTTAATATGATATCTGAGTGAGTGACTAACAAAATCATGGGGGCCCCCCGGTCTGTAATTCGACCATGATTACTAAGTTTAGATAGCTGGCTAGACTAATTTAGCAATCTAAAAAATGTTAGCTGACATGGCTAATTGAGTGACTGTCAGTAACCACATTTCCATCCAGTTTTTATGCGGGTAAAGTCAAACCTTTTTTTTTTTAAATCACATCAGCTGTGATGGAAACAGGTAGTTTCGGTACAATTTTATAAATGCTGACAGATAATTTGTTCGTTCGACATGGTGGAATCTTTTTGTGTTGGTAAAATTAATTATGCAAGAAATTGTGGTGTAAATGCCTTTATGCACAAATATTGATATGATAAACATCATATCGAAGTAAACTTGGAGTCTCGAGATGATAAGGTGTGTGGTCCTCCCACTATGACTCTGGAAACCATGCAGTTTATTAGGCTCCAGATCAAATAAATTATGATGAACTTCACAGGGTGGTGAAAGTGAACAGTGATCTTGATGCTCCTTTCCAATAAATATTGAGGGTATTATTCTGGTGACATGATGATTGATGCTTGACTGCCATTTGAGCCCATAATAATCTCATCATGTAGACCACCCTACCCTCACAGCCTACCCGCACTGTATCTGCAAGCCTTTGGCTAGAGCGCACGTGCCAAGACCAGAGTAGGCAGATTTTCCATTTCATGCAATAGTTTTTGTGACAAAACTATCGGTAGAGTTGAAAATGTGATGGAAACACATTGAACTTTTGATTTTTATTCAGTACATGAAAACTTAAGCAAAAAAGTACATTTTTTGTGCACTACGTCATCATCATCCACTGCCTTTTATCCGCAACAACACTGCTGGGTAAATGCGCATATTTCCTTTGGATGGAAACCTAGCTAGTGACTGACATAAGAAAAAAACTGCTTAAGCACACACACATTTAGAAATTGCCTCTTGTGTATTGTACTATTCCAACTCTCTACAGTAAATTGAAACCGAAACGAAGTGCCAAAAAATATATACAGTACCAGTCAAAAGTTTGGACACACCTACTCAATCAAGGGTTTTTCTTTATTTTCACTATTTTCTGCATTGTAGAATAATAGTGAAGACATCAAAACTATGAAATAACACATATGGAATCATGTAGTAACCAAAAAGTGATAAACAAATAAAAATATATGTTATATTTTAGATTCTTAAAAGTAGCCACCCTTTGCTTTGATGACAGCTTTGCACACTCTTGGCATTCACCCAAGCAGCATCATGAGGTAGTCACCTGGAATGTATTTCAATTAACAGGTGTGCCTTGTTAAAAGTTAATTTGTGGAATCTCTTTCCTTCTTAATGCATTTGAGCCAATCAGTTGTGTTGTGACAAGGTAGGGTTTTTGGAAATTGATCCGCGCGCCTACAAAAAGGGGGCTGCCAGTTCCCCATCCCTGACCTAAACCATTTAAACTGGAACAACCATCTCAGTAAAGGGTGCAATAAGTCCAACTAATAATGGATTGGATTAGTTTAGAAAAATGTATGTTATTTATCTTTGTACAGCATAAGACTACTCAATCAATCTATCAATCAATCAATGTGCATGCAAAAACACAGATATTGAAACCAACAATTCTAGAAAATACACCTGCAATAAAGCATGCTGGAATTATGATAGGCGTGGTTTTGAGTGTCAGTGTTTTACTACAGAGTAGAAATGACACAATCACACTCAACTCTGGTTATTAACACCAATGGGTTATTTTACAACACTGAGTATTAATTTAAGTCCTGAATTAATAAACCTCTCATTCATTTGATGGAGACGGGCATTTAACCCTGGTCTATGGTGGGGAAGCACACATTTGCTTGTTGCTGGGAGTGTTCCCCACATGACCACAGCTCTGGACGATCCTCTCATTTCTATCATAATAATAATAATAATAATAATATGCCATTTAGCAGACGCTTTTATCCAAAGCGACTTACAGTCGTGCGTGCATACATTTTTGTGTATGGGTGGTCCCGGGGATCGAACCCACTACCTTGGCGTTACAAGCGCCGTGCTCTACCAGCTGAGCTACAGAGGACCACATCATGAATGTTGTGTCGAACTATGCATTTAAAGGGATACATGGGGACTTTGGCAATGAGGCCCTTTAGCTACTTCCCCAGAGTCAGATGAACTCGTGGATACCATTTTTATGTCTCTGTGTTCGTACAGTATAAAATAAGTTAGAGGTAGTTTTGTGAGCCAATGCTAACTAGAGTTAGCGCAATGACTGAAAGTCTATGAGTATCTGCTAGCATGTTTTTCAATGATCACCAGTGTCCAAAACCCAGCAAAGGCTGGTCACCAGCTACAGTGCCTTGCAAAAGTATTCATCCCCCTTGGCGTTTTTCCTATTTTGTTGCATTACAACCTGTAATTTAAATGGATTTTTATTTGGATTTCATGTAATTTCATGTAATTATTTGGATTTCATGTAATTTCATGTAATGGACATAAGTGAAGTGAATTGAAAAAAATAACTTGTTTCAACTAATTCTAAAAAATAAATAACGGAAAAGTGGTGTGTGCATATGTATTCACCCCCTTTGCTATGAAGCCCCTAAATAAGATCTGGTGCAACCAATTACCTTCAGAAGTCACATAATTAGTTAAATAAGTGTCACATGATCTGTCACATGATCTCAGTATACATACACCTGTTCTGAAAGGCCCCAGAGTCTGCAACACCACTAAGCAAGCGGCACCACCAAGCAAGCGGCACCATGAACACCAAGGAACTCTCCAAACAGGTCAGGGACAAAGTTGTGGAGAAGTACAGATCAGGGTTGGGTTATAAAAAAATATCAGAAACTTTGAACATCCCATGGAGCACCATTAAATCCATTATTCAAAAATGGAAAGAATATGGCACCACAACAAACCTGCCAAGAGAGGGCCGCCCACCAAAACTCACGGACCAGGCAAGGAGGGCATTAATCAGAGAGGCAACAAAGAGACCAAAGATAACCCTGAAGGAGCTCCAAAGCTCCACAGCGGAGATTGAAGTATCTGTCCATGGGACCACTTTAAGCCATACACTCCACAGAGATGGGCTTTACAGAAGAGTGGCCAGAAAAAAGCCATTGCTTAAAGAAAAAAATAAGCAAACACGTTTGGTGTTCGCGAAAAACCAAAAGACTCCCCAAACATATGGAAGAAGGTACTCTGGTCAGTTGAGACTAAAATTTAGCTTTTTGGCCATCAAGGAAAACGCTATGTCTGGCGCAAACCCAACACCTCTCATCACCCCGAGAACACTATCTCCACAGTGAAGCATGGTGGTGGCAGCATCATGCTGTGGGGATGTTTTTCATCGGCAGGGACTGGGAAACTGGTCAGAATTGAAGGAATGATGGATGGCGCTAAATACAGGGAAATTCTTGAGGGAAACCTGTTTCAGTCTTCCAGAGATTTGAGACTGGGACGGAGGTTCACCTTCCAGCAGGACAATGACCCTAAGCATACTGCTAAAGCAACAGTCGAGTGGTTTAAGGGGAAACATTTAAATGTCTTGGAAAGGCCTAGTCAAAGCCCAGACCTCAATCCAATTGAGAATCTGTGGTATGACTTAAAGATTGCTGTACACCAGCGGAACCCATCCAACTTGAAGGAGCTGGAGCAGTTTTGCCTTGAAGAATGGGCAAAAATCCCAGTGGCTAGATGTGCCAAGCTTATAGAGACATACCCCAAGAGACTTGCAGCTGTAATTGCTGCAAAAAGTGGCTCTACAAAGTATTGACTTTGGGGGGGTGAATAGTTATGCACGCTCAAGTTTTCTGTTTTTTGTCTTATTTCTTGTTTGTTTCACAATAAATCAAATGATACAAACCCCCCAAAAATCAATTTTAATTCCAGGTTGTAAGGCAACAAAATAGGAAAAATGCCAAGGGGGGTGAATACTTTCGCAAGCCACTGTAAAAACACAATGAAGGCTGGTCACCAGCAAAAACACAACGAAGGCTGGTCACCAGCATAAACACAACAGAGGCTGGTC